AAAATGTCAGGGACAGATGCTAGTCTGGATGAATAAGAGAACAACAGGTATATACCAGGAATGTCCCAGGTAAACCAGTACATACAGTCACCAAACTTCTGTGCTCTTTCACAGTTATAAATTTTGGGGAGCTTTTCCCATGAAGATAATAAATGGATCCATCTTTCACGTACTCCTAATGGAATATTCTTAGCAAAGAAAATCCACAATGAAACTCATTGCTGTATTCTCATAAGGAGCTTTGCTGACCATCCACTGCCATCTTCCAGAGCCATCCTCTCCCAAATTCCAAGTGGAGGGACAAAGCATGAAACAGGCTAAAATCCAATAAAGCCCTTGAACCCACAAAAACAATATAGAGATGGGTAATGAACGTACTTTTAACACTTACAAAGCATGAGAGTGAAGGGTGGGGCAACAGGTGCATAATGGAGTATGGTGGCTCAGAGTGCAGTATCTCAGTCACATAATCTCTGCCTATACGTATTCCACATGCCATTTGGAATTCTAAGGTGGAAAAACCACCAAACACCTGTTCACTAAATTGTAGCTTAAAACACTAGGAGGTACACTTCCAGCATACAAGCCTAAAAGCTCAGAACAGCTAGTTTTAGCACAAATTAATAAAACCCAACTTTAACCCCAGATAGCAAATCCTGGTATTAATTATTTTAAGAGCTAGTTTAGACTGAAGAGAGAAGCCATTTTTAGAAAAAGATATAAAGCATGCATGCAATTTTGTTGTAATGTACATCTGCAATTCTGTCCTTAAACTAAATCTTCTAGCAGTTTTTGGAGCTAGATCAATTACAGACTGCATTTAAGTAAGATGACTTTTTTCTCATTTTTAAAGCTGTCATCAGGAAACTGGGAGATTTGACCAACTCATTTATTTACCTATTTGTTCACTCAAATATTCATTCAAGACACATTTGGCAAGTGCCTTCAGAGACAAATGTCACCTCATGCTCTGTAGAACCACATTTTCCAGAAAAGAACCCTGTTAAGGCTGTGGGATGTCTCTTAGATATAACCTAGGGGATATTCACAATATTTAACAATAGTAGAGCATGGTCACCAGCCAGTCAAAATAACACCCTTCTGTAGACTCAGTATTTGTATTCCCAAAAATTCACATGTCGAAATCTCATCCTTAGAGGTGATGGTATAAAAGTAAAATAAATATTAAAAACAATATTAGTAACATAAGAAAGGTGATGGTAATTTGGAGGTGAGGCCTTTGACAGGTGATTAGACTATGAGGATGGAGCCCTGATGAATGGAATTCATATTCTTATAACAAGAGACACCAGAGAACTCTCTCGCCTTTTCCATCCTGTGACAACACAGTGAGAAGACAGCTGTCTATGAACCAAGAAGAGGGTCCTCAACTGATATTAAATCTACAGAATCTGCAGGTATTTTTATCTGAGACTTCCTATCCTCCAAAATTATGATAAATAAATGTGAGCTGTTCAAACCACCAAGTCTATAGTATTTTTGTTATATTAGTGGTGCACATGTCCAATGGAATATGACTCAGCTATACAAAGAATAAAATCTTGCCATCTGCAACAACATGAATGAACCTAGAGGGTATTATGGTAAGTGAAATAAGTCAGACAGAGAAAGACAAATGTCAGTTGATTTCACTTATATGTGGAATATATAAAACAAAATAAATGAACAAGCCAAACAGAAACAGGTTCATAAAGAGAACATTTTGTTGGTTGCTAGATGGGAGAGGGTTTGGGAGAATGCATGAAAACGGTGAAGAGATTGGTAGTTGCAGAATAGTCATGGTTTGTAAAGTACAGCACAGGGAATATAGTCAATAATATTTTAATAATTATGTACTAGGTGAGTGTCAGATGAGTGCTACATTTATAGGGGTGATAACTTCATAAGTTATGTAAATGTGTAATCACTATGTTGTATGCCTAAAACTAATATAATATTGTACACCAATTGTAATTGAGTTTTCTTGATTGTAATTGAGGTGAGGTAGTCTTCCATATGATCATTCAGGTACTCAGGCTCCTCTATAGTATAGCTTGACTCTCCTCTAAGTCCTAGGTATCCTCACCGTTCATCTAGCACATGGGAGAAAGATAAAAAGATATGGTTCTTTAGAGGGCTTTATGAGCCAGACCTGGATAGTACATATCATTTTGGTCACATTCCATTGGGCAGGGCTCAGGTGTATGACCACATCAAGCTGTAAGGGAAATATAGTCCACCTATGTCCCAAAAATAAAATGACAGCACAGACGTAAGCAAATCTTCACACAGACTCTTAACTGACTTTATACAGCATCACCTCACTGAGAATTAGCTCGCTCTGTTCTTTAATAAATCACTCCATTCCAAAATGTGAGCAGTAAAAGAACACAACCACCTTTTATTAATTGTTAAATAAGAAATAAAAAGTGTTGTCCATACAGTGGTGTACCCAGAATCTGATTCTTACATTCATTGAAGCTTGCTAAAGAAGAGATCCTCTTAGAGACAGAAAACCTGGTTCAGAATAGACTATTGTCCCACCACAATATTCTGCACTATTTCCATTCCTTTCACAAAATTAGCCTGAAATTAGTGGGCAGTGAGTCTACAAGTAATAATTTGCTGGGGTTTTTTTCTGACAAGTAGCAAATTTAGCAATTTATCGACCACTAGATTTCTTTTATGATTTTGGCATCACAGATACACTGAGGGGTAAAACATTTTCCTGCTTCCCACCACTCCAACAGATTTTCCCCTTTAAATTTCCTTAAAGAGCCCTCATGAAAATAGACTTATAAAAGTATCAAATTAATAGATGAGCTTACCCTGTATTTTTCTTTTCCTGTTGTACATTCTAAATAAAAAAAGACTAGACAAAAAGTGAGACCCATCCATCCACATTCCAAGACATGATCCAATTACTAAATCATTTCAGAGCATATCCAAGATGTGGAGACCACGATTTGGACCAGAATCCACCTATTCCAATATGTTTCAGTTAGTTTAGTTAGTTAGTTAGTTCTGAAGACTGACCAGCCGTTGAGTAGTCAATAGACTTTACCACAGAATCTGATGGAGGACACTGTGACATTTTATTTGCTGTAAATTTCAGCTCTTTGAACCACATACCACACCTATGAACAGCTGAGATTACAAAACAAAGCCCTGGAATGCATATACTCTCATTCACTGTTTTCACATTTCTGTTTCCAAAATGTTTGGCTACATTTTCTTCCTCCCCACAAATCCCAGCTCTTTCTTAAGGACAAAGAAACCTAATTCTCATAAAATGTTTGGTTTTCAAAATATGCTAAGCATTTAGAGATTTATTAGAAGTAGTTTTAGTTCCTCATTAATCTAAAGCAAATTATTATTGATTTACAACAGACGGCTCATCTGATATCCTTCAGGCAGTCATAAAAAAATAGTCTGAGCATTAAAAATGGTTGATGTCTTTCTGGCAATAGCAGTTAAACTCAGTCAATGACAGCCCCTTCCAGCTGGATGAAAAATAGCCCATTCTCATTGTGTGTCCTGCTCGTTTATGTGTGTTACAAATAGCCTGTATTCATATGCATTTATTTTCATAATGGGTTCATTTATCAGAGAGCTCTAGATACCTCATTCACACCAGAGTGATTTTCAAAGGAAAAGAATACTTGCTAACACTACCACATGCTTTTAAACTGGACATGTTTTGTTATGGTGAGTTTTTTACTAAAACTCATGAGGGTTTTTATTAGTTTTAAGCAATCTCAATGATTATAATTTGAAGTCTGCCTTGCACTTGTTGGCTAAGAGCATCAATTTCTTCATCAAACTACCCAGTGAAAGTCTTGGCTCTCTGCCATTTGAGCAAGTTACCTTCTCTTGGTAAAGTTCGGGTTTCTCCTCTGCAAAATGGGAATGTCAAGAGCACCTACATCAAGGGTGATATTTAGATGAGGTTTCTTATTTTATCATAGCACCACACATATAGAAATTCTGTACTAATATAAGCTATTGACCCAGGGCCAATTAATAGGCAAATATTAACAGCTTTGTCTACACTATGCCTACTAAAGAGGATTATGCTCTGCTCAGTTGTTTTTTCTCTCCGGGTTCTCCTAGAAGGATCCAACCTTGCAAGATTAGAGCAAAGAGGAAAAATAAAAGAATGAAGACCAAGACAGGCTCAGGACTTTTCAATAAGAAACTCTGAAGAGAAAGAGTGGCAGTATGTGAGGAAATTTGTTGAAGGTTAAAGTGAGATTTGAAGTTATGTTCTTACGGTATGTTCTTACATTCTTCACAATATTCGAAAATGCAAATAAAGGATTAGATTATTTCCCTTTTTTGGATTCTGGATGTGTATGTGTGTGTGTTTAACTATTATCCAGATTAGACTGAATTATTTGGATTATGAAAGTGTGTGTTATTACTACTACTTCTGCTATTACTATTCTTACTTAGAATTATTACATATTCCAGTTTAAACCAGATGTCCTGCCTTTAATCATTAATAGCACCTGCTCCAACTTTCAAGGATATTCCAGTTTATACAATAAAGTTCCTGGTCACACTCCTATTTTTGTTGCTGTTATTGCCATCACCGGTATCATTTTTTTAAATCTTCAATTGAAATAATATATGCAAAATTTTAATTATACATCATTCTTCTTGGAAAAATGATTTTATAAACTTTATTAGCAAATTCCTCAGACATCTAAAAATTCACTTGCCCCAAAATATTAACTTTAGCCCTAGCTGGTGTAGCTCAGTGGATTGAGCGCAGGCCTGTGAACCAGATGATCACGGTTCGATACCCAGCTGGGTTGCAGACCAGTTCCCAGCAGGGGACACACGAGAGGCAACCATACATTGATATTTCTCTCCCTCTCTCCTTCCCTTCCCCTCTAAAAATAAATGAATAAAATCTAAAAAAATTATTATTGTATTTTAAAAAGTTAACTTTAGGGTGAAAAGTAAAATTTTAGATACCACCCAACCGTAACTTATCCAAAGAGCTCATTCGTATACCCAAATGACACCTTCAAACATCTTCCACTTCGATGCCTTTTCATCTTTAAATCCTGAGAAGACAAAAGGCAGACACAAAAGTGAGGCTAAACAGGTTTTTTACATGGACATTTTACCCATTAAACATGAAATCTAACTTGATATAACAAAGCCATTTTCACTTCCAGATCTTCAGTGCAACAAGCAATGGGCATCAGTAGCAAATATCTTCCCTAAGCATAATTACCCATCAACCTCACATTTAAAGAACTATTTAAAGAACCCCCTATTTAAAGAACTGTCTTGTTCTTTAAATAGTCATCAGAATTATAGTAGGCATAAACTGATTAACTAGTTCACTAGGGGGAAATAAAAACAATATTCTAAATTACAAACAGCATTGCTTGTAAACTTGATGCCCTATATGTTAGTTTTTGCTTATAAAAAAGACAAGATAGGATTGGGTATAGCAGGATAAATGGTAATGGGAAAAATACAATAATAAATAAACTATTAAAATTTTCAGCTAGCAGTATTTACATTTTATGTTAAACATCCTCGGACACCAGTTGAAGATGGTTTCTTTTCAGGCTCTGGAATTTAATAATCATCCTAAAACATATATGCAGCACATGAAGATAACATCACAGGATTAAATATTTAAGGAAAGAGAGACAGGGAAGCAGGGAAGGAGAATTCACTACGAGTCTCTAAAGTAATTACAGTAAAATATTCTTTGCTCTCTACTTAGAAATTATTATTAAAACTTTTTCAAATATTTTCTTACAAAGGAAATGGTTTAGGATGTAATATAGATTTTTTTTAGGCAAATGAACATACGTCTTCTCTCAGGGGAAAGGGGAGAGTGTGAATAAACAGGGAAAAAACTTAATTTTGCTGAATATGCAAGGTTCAGCACCCTAGTAATAAATGTTTGCAGCTGTTTCTACTTTTTTAAGAGTTTATTTTATTTATTTTTAGAGAGAGGGTAAGGGATGGAGAGACAGAGAAACATCCATGTAAGAAACATCATTGCCTCTCAAACACCCCCAACTGGTAACCGGGCCTGCAACTCAGGCATATGTCCTGACCAGGAATGAATTTGCAGCCATTTGGTGGATGGGATGATCCTCCAACCAACTGAAGCACCAGGCCAGGGTGTTCTTTCTACTTTTTAAGATCTCCTCATCTTCCTCAAATAACTATTCCCTTTCTTTCCCTGCCCACCCTCTTCCCCCACTCTCTCTGTACCCCCTTCCTCTCCTTCTGTCTCTGTCTAGATCTCCAAAATATTTCCTTGCTTCAGTCATCTAACTACCTAGGGATTATCTGTGGTTATGTAATTCCATAATCATATTCCTAGTTGACATGTCACAATTCACTTAAAATGGACTCAAAGCTCAGCATAAGCTCACAAAAGTGTCCATAAGAACAGTCAATGATGACTTTATTGTTTGTTTAAGGATGAACTTAACCTGCTTTTCAATGTCTGCAGATGGGAGGTTCATTTCAATGACAAACGGAAACTCAGGGTAAAAAAAAAGTCCTAAGAAATCAAATACCTCTAAACTACAAAAATATCTCATTTCTCCATGGCTGGGTATCTCAATTGGTTACAGCATCATCCCAATATGCCAAGGTCGCAGGTTCTATCCCAGATCAGGGAACAAAACACAACCAGTGAATGCATAAATAAGTGGAACAACAAATTTACATGTACCTGTGTGTGTCTCTCTCCCCACTTCTCTTTCTAAAGTCAATTAAAAACTAAATATATCTCACATCATGGGTAAATATGGACTAGAGACACTGAAAATGCTTCTTTGGTGATCATGAATAAAACAAAATTCAGAGCACTGCTCTCCTGAAGTTATAATGAAATACCTAGGCAACATACCAAAGTGAAAGCAATATGTGCGAAACTATGTGCAGGTGACTGGCACAAATTTCCAAGTTCTGATCCGAAAATATTTTGATGAAAATATTTCTAGAAAAGCACACAACTTATTAAAACTGACATAGAATAAATAGCAAATATGAGTAGTCCTATGTCTATTAAAGAAGATAATTATATAATCAGAAATTTACCAAATAAAGTGAGCCTAGATCAAATAGAATATTAAAACTTAGAAACACTTTTCTTATTAGTAGTATTAAGAAAGAAAAAGGCAGGACAACTGTAACTGAACAACAATAAAAAAGAATATAAAATATACAATGAAATCTATTAAATACACAAATGTATCTGTTATATGTTTCCAATTCTATGACCACTTTTATCTCTATTTAAGCTATACCCATCTCTGCTCTTTTTATGTAATCTCTAGAAAAGTTTTGTTAATTAATTTGGTTCTTGCATGCTATCTTTTTATTGTCTTCTCTGAACCCTCTAGTTTTATTTTAGACTCATCATGAAAACATTTGGAGGATGATTTTGTTGTGTTAAGCTGTATTTTTCATTGTAAAGCTTTTCTGTTCCTAATTTGCCTTCCGAAAACTTTCAAAATCATTCTCAGGCCATTGTCACAAAATCACAACTTATTACCTAACAACCTCCAGTTCAGTTTAAAAAGGCAGTTGAATTTTTTATGCTAAATCTAAGAAAACATTGCAGAATCAAACTTTGAAAAAAACTGTATTGGGAAATTACCTAGTAGCCATCAGGCTACCTGTCAAAAGGGAAATTTGACATTTGGTTTGGTTCTTTTTTTCTGCTTCTTGAAATCTTATCTGGCAAGATAAATATTGAAGAAAAGAAAAAATGTAGGTAATAAAAAGACAGCATCCAAGAGAAAAAGTACTAAGGTGATGTGGGACTCTAGCTGTTTCAGACAAGAATTGGCATAAAATTCAAGATACATAGATAACTTGTCCTTGGGCTGGGTGGAGAGAAATAAAATTTCAATAACAAAAAGTATTGTCAAAAGAAAAAAATTGTGATACCACAGGGAATAGGGTACTGGGAAAATTGCTGAGGGTGGAACCACAAATGGCAGTTGGACAAAGTTAGGTGGAGCCCAGAAATAAAGCAAAAACTTTAATAGCAGACTTGCAGTGTATAGATCTCATTTTTATGTAAGACCCAAGGAATTTCTTTCATGACCCACACCCTTCCTAACAATCAACCTGATATCAGGTTAAGATGTGGTTGTTTCAGCTTCTTTGCATTTAGAAGCACATCCATAGTAGAAATAGCTATGTTGAAGACTTAGTCAATAACTCCCAACTTCTGATACCCTCTCTGCAGTGGAAATTAAAGCAGAATAAATATTCTTTTCAGTAAGTATTTTGATAGGAAACCTGGTCACTGGGCCATAAAACTTTGCTGAAGTTCCCAAACAAAGGTCAGATATCCTCAATCAACACCCTATTCTCAATGAACTTTCCCCAAGTGATATCTCTTCTGGACATAGAGAATTCTGAGATCAAATCAGAAGACTCGAAATAGTTGGAATAACTCAAAGTAAACATACGTTTCTAAATCATGAGCTTTTGAGAAATCAGCAGGTCTTGGTGTTTATCATTGAATATTTTCTGTAATAACCTATGTAGCTGCTCTGTGATTTAAAGCATGTCTTTCATGCAGAATACAAAAGTAACCATTACAAAAATCCCAATCACTTGCAGGACCAAACAGAATTCCATTCAATTAGTCTATATTTAAAAAATAGAAGAAGCCCTGGCTGGTGTAGCTCAGTGGATTGAGCACGGGCCTGTGAAGCAAAGGGTTGCTGGTTCGATTCCCAGTCAGGGCACATGCCTGGGTTGCAGGCCAGGTCCCCAATAGAGAACATATGAGAGGCAACCACACATCAATGTTTCTCTCCCTCTCTTTCTCCCTCCCTTCCCCTCTTTCAAAAAATAAATAAATAAAATACATTTAAAAAAAACAAGAAAAAAATTGAATCAATACATTATGGCTGGCCTCATGTTGAGCTAAAATGTAACCACATGTATCATGTTAAGTTGTCTGAATATTTAAGTTTAAGGAGAATAAAGTGAGATTAGAGCAAAAATGTGTGTTCTTCTCCTTTATATCCTTAGGCTCCAGGAGGGCAGGGTTACATGGAATATGAAAGCTGCAAATTAAAGGCCTTGACTTTACAAAGAAAAATTCCAAAGTGCACACAGTAATATGTATTTGCTTAACAAAGAATAAGCAACAAAATTTCAGAGAAAATAGGCAGGCTTGGCCAACAGCAGAACAGCAAAGGTAGCATAGAGTTTATCTTCTGTTCTTCCTGTCCTTTCTTTCAGTTTTCATTCCTAGAAAGCAGTTAGTGATTCCTGACTCCCTTTCCAGATCTTAGGTGAAAATAATCCTTGAGCTACTCAGCAATGTGCCTGTGGGCATCCTAGATAAGTTTCCTGGAAGCAGAGCATCAGACAGGGTTTTTGTACAAACAATACGTTGAGGGATGTCTAACAATACGTTAGAAGATAACTGTGGTGAATGGGAGAAAGCTGGCTTACGGGAAGAAGTCAGGCAAAGATGTGCTTTCAGAAGTCCACACTTAGCCTGATCTCCTTAGAAAGCTCTAGAGAGTGAATGGTACCATGTGGCTGGTCAAGTTCATTGGACAAGGAGCCAACACACAATAGCCCACCAGCCTGGAGAAGGGGATCTGAGTGAGCCATGCATTGCACCTGACATAGCAGGCATGTGTGGCCATTAGATAAGGATGGACCATCTTCCAAGACAATTTTGCTTAGTGTCTGAGGGAGCATGGTTTGTTTTTTTTTTTTTCTGTTTGAAAAATAATATGTAAATCTTTCTTTTTATGTTAGGAAAAAAATATTTGTATTTTAAAGATAAAAGAGGTTTCCAGCACCAAATGAATATACCATCTTCATCAAAATGTTCTAAAGTCTCTTCCCTGACCAGTGTGGCTCATCTGGTTGGGCAACCTTCTGCAAAGCAAAAGGTCTCCAGTTCATTTCCTGGTCAGGACACATGCCTGTTTTGCAGGTCCAGTTCCCAGATAGGGTGCATAGAATAGGAAACCAATCAATGTTTCTCTTCCTCTTTTTCTCCCTCCCTTTCCCCTCTCTAAAGTAAATAAATAAAATCCTT